ATTCACCTTTCACAAAACGAGTACATATATACATCATCTATGCAAATAGGTATGATTCTGAGCACTAGCAAGCTATGTTTCGCCCCTCTGACCACGCCCAGTTTGCGTCTGTTATTGAATTTTGATCATCCTTCGCGTTTTTATTTCATAGCAGGTAACTCGTCCACTGCTGAAAGCGCACCCTCTCCACTACAGAGAGGTTCTGCGCAATCTTGAAAAATGGTCCATATCGGCGGAGTAGAGCCCGAACTGGCGGCTTACCTTTCCTCTCGTCCAAAACTAGAAAGCAGGAGATTTTTCGTCACGAGGAAGACTTCAAAGAGCTTATTTTTAACAAGTTTCAATTTTCATGCGTCTGTTCGTAAGCAACAAATGTATACAAAAAAGGAAGGAAAGAAGAAATCAACAGCAAAAAATGTTCTCCATAGAATTGTTCACGATCGTTTCATCTTTGTTGCATAACGGCATAATCAAGTGCAAGAGTTATGCAAAAAGGTGTTTGAGTGCACAGTGACCGAAGAAAATGCGAAAGAGCAGACCCTCGACCATCCAAAGTCAGTCGTACCACGTGACCAATCTGCCACGCTACCACGGGCGGGGCCGAACCCTTTTGCTTTACGACTCTACTCGTACTGAGTAAAAGTATGCTCCCAGTAAAAAAGCTCAGTACTTTTGATGTGGCAGGTCCGAAGAAAATATGGAAGTGGCACACATTTCATTTTCAAAAGGCACCTTCGATCTAACGTATGAATAGCAGCGCTGCAGCCTTGACAGCCTTCACTGCCCCGATATCTTGAGCAGCGGCTTCAGCCCGCCGGAAGACGGACGTGCCTGCTTATAGGCTGTCCAATTTCTCGCACAGGCCGTCCAATTTCTGTATTCTTGGCTCTACCAACGGCTACTTTGATGAGTCGGCTTGCAGTTTTTCAGCGAGATCTTCTGAGCTCCTTGTTTTTTTTTGCTAACGTTTGTGCGCTTCCTCCCTCTGCCTAAGATTTCATCAAACACATCATTATATGTCACGCTGCTTGTCTCTTCTAGCCCACACAATCGGTTCTCTCCAGAGACTTGCTTTGCACGCGGTTATATGGTCTCTACAATTTGGTCCAGGTATCCTGGACCAGACCGTGGGGGTCAGGTAGTCTAGTCACCAGTAGTTTTCGATTGAGGCAATCCTTCTCATTTCTTTGCATTCACCACCACCCAATCATTCTCTCCGTTTTAACCCTTTTCCTCTTCGGGTTTATGGTTATGCCTGCCAAGAGAGTAGTGTGCTGAGAAGTAGCCCAATTATTAGGTTGTCCGGAAAGTTCTCAGCGTTTTGTGCACCTATTTTTTGTACATTCACTGCTGATTAAAAATTCATTCTGCCTTGCTTCTCAGTAGCATATCCTGCTAGAGATATGTTCCTTCCGCTTATTACTGATGGTATAATTGCCGTTTCACCATTGCTTGATAAACCCCCTTTTTTCAAGATTTTTTCAAGCATGTGAAAAGAGCACTTCGGACGATTTTTTCTTCGACTATAAATTGGGGCAATCCGCAATCGAAACAGCTCAACAAATTAACCAGGTGTGGGGGCCCAATAGTGCTAGAGAAAGCACTGTGCGGCAATGGCTCAACAAATTTCGTTCTGGAGATTTCAGCCTTGAAGGTGAACCTCATAGCGGTCGACCTAAAGCAATATCTGACGAGGATTTTAGGGGGATTTTGGAGGCTGACCCATCCCAAACAGTTCGAGAGATAGCAGAAGAGCTAGGCCTTGGCAAATCCACTGTTGCAGATGGTCTGGAACGCATTGGTAGGTGAAAAAACCGACAATTGGTGCCCACAATCGGCGGAGTGACCGGCAGGAATCGGCACGTCTCGAGGTTCCTTCTGCATTGCTTTTGCGCAGCAGAAACGACCTGTTTTTGGGCCGAATTGTCACCTGTGATGAAAAATGGGTCATGTATGATAACAGGAGATTCCGGACAGTGGCTGGATTTCGACGAACCACCGAGGTAATTTTCAAAGCCGAACCCTCACGAAAAAAGATTCTGGTCACGGCTTGGTGGTCATCGGCTGGTGTGATCCACTATAACTTTTTATCACCAGGCCAAACCATCACAGCAGAACCCTACTGTGAAGAAATCGACGAATTGTACCGAAAATTTTGTCAGATGCAGCCAACACTTATCAAAAGAAAGGGTCCGATTCCTTTGCATGACAACGCCCGCCCACACGTTTCACAAATCACTATCCATAAATTGAACGAATTGGGGGTTGAAGTTCTACCTCAACCGCCATATTCTCCAGACCTTTCACCAACCGAATATTCCCTTTTCAAACATTTTCAGAACTTCCTTGCTGGAAAATACTTCATCAATCAGGACCAGGCAAAAAAGCCTTCGTGGATTTCGTGAATTTTCGACCACCCAGTTTTTTACTTTGATGGGATTTCTCGACTGCTGTCACATTGGCAAAAGTGTGCTGATTCGAATGGTGCTTATTTCGATTAAATCCGATGAGTATTAAAAAGTTACGATCGTTTAAAGTGAAACACCCAAAACGCTGAGAACTTTCCGGACAACCTAATATCCGCCGGGCAGTATCTAGGCGCCCTTCACAGAATCCGTTATCATTTAGCGTTCCTTGCTCCTATTGCGAGTCTCCGTGCACCCTTCTGTCACTACCCACGAAACTATTCAGAAGCTGTGATCGGGATCTTCCAAAATCCAAAATCGTCCTTGTAACCTCGTGCAGAGTCAGGCAGAACTCATCCTCCTCAAGCTCGATGTAACGGGATTGCGATGCGTACAAGTCACTATTGTCCGGTACCACTCATTTGGGTCTATTCTCACAGCCATGATTCGGGCAGTGATCCTCTTCGAAGGAGACGCAGTCCTTGGGGGATTCTGCTTTCCATTCCCATAGCGGAATTCACGTTTAAAGTCCTAACAGAACTATCTTCTTTGGCTGGGATCGCTCACCCCTCGGTGCCCCTCGCATACTGACCTACAGAACGAAGGTTTTGCGCGTACTACGGTTAACGTCCTGACTGCCACAAATTCAGAATATTTGCAGTTTTCGCAAAACATGGCTTGACCGCACCAAACAATCTGTGCGCCATTTCTAGGTGACATACACAAGACATGACAGACATAAGAAAGTAAGATAAGCAAATATGGAACACAACTAGATCTATTGACAGACTATAATAGAAACAAAAATAGACCAGATCGCACTCAAAGCGATGACAGCAAAGCGATGGCTCCTTACTCGAAGGCCCAGGCTGGCCGAGAACCGGGCGCGGCCATCAGACCGCGCGTGCTTTCTTAATCACAATATTTCTAAGAAATAATCAACTAGAAAATAATCCCCCTTCTGTCTGCTACTCCATTTAATATTATTCCAGGTGTCTGAAAGTATTCAATTTGAGTATTTTACAGAATTCTTCGATCTTAGACTCCGAAAAATATACCAACCATCGGAGCAGAGACCACAGACCACACATAGATAATATAGATGACACCAACACAAATACATCAAACACGAACGACCCTATACAACTAGAGACCTATAATCAAAGATTATATTATATAAAAACCAAAAAGAGTACTTTGAAGTGCATCATGGGAAACAGTTTCTTAAAAGGAATTATTAAAACGGTACTGAAGCCACCAGAACCACAACAAAAAAAAAAACACAAGCATAGCCCCAGACCACAATATGTTTATTAGCCCCACAATACACTACGAAAAACGACCATCTCACTGACACTAATCAAACAGTATTTATAATACAAAAAAGGTCTTTGAAGTAAAGACATACATAGAAGAAACAGTATTATAAAGAGAATAAATTCAAAAAAAAAAAAAAAAAAAAATTTCTCTGGCTCCGCCCACCTCACGCTGGCCCCGCCCACAATGTTTTTGCCCCACAATCCTCACCCGCGACCCTCTGCTGACCTTGATCCACTTTTTCCGGTCTTTGAAGTGCTCTGGGACCGTTTTACAGATCTTTTCTGACTCCGCCCACCTCGGAGCAGGCTCCGCCCACAATTTTTTGCCCTACAATCTTAACCGACGACCCTCTGCTGAACTTAATCCACTTTTATTTGGAGTGTTCTGGAACCGAGCTACAAACATTTAAAATGAATACCCTGCGATTTAGGGCAAGCCCCGCCCACTGTGGGCGGGTCTCAACACGCTTTGAGCGTGCCCTATATTCGCCAGATATTTACATTCTACACTGAGTTTTTTGCGACTTCCAAACACTCTCGCGAACCGGGTTACTGAATTTTGCGAGAAGCACCGCCCACCTTGAGTACGCCCCGCCCATTTAGGGTGTACCTGCCACAGTTAGTCTGGCGACTCCTTACTAACCTTATTCCCTTTTTCCCCATCTTTAGCTGCCCCGGAAGCGAATTATGAACATTTTTCTGCGGAACCCCAAACTTTCGGCGAGTGCCCCGCCCACTGTGGGCGGGGCTTCCCATAGGTCAAGTGTGCTTTTTATTTCTTGTCCCATGCCCTACCCATCCCCACCTTGACCCGACCTCTCCAAGTCGTTCTTCAGGTCGAACCGAATTTCCGGACAGACAAACTTACAAACAAACAAACAAACAAACAAACTTACAAACAAACAAACAGACGAAGCGAATTATATATATGGGGTGATTGTGCACGGGGTCCCATCAGCCGGCCGTTAACCTGCGCCTTACACTAGTATCGCCGCCATTTTTGCTATTCCCACAAAGCGCGATCTGTGCTAAACAAGGATCGAACCCACTTTCAGGGCGCAGAGATGAGTCCACACTCCTGACCACTCTATTATCCCTGGGCTCAGACGTTTCAGTCGGCAGTGTAGCAAACACAATTACGAGTAACTAGAAAAAGAGGTTAGAAGGGTAATGTATTATATTACTTTTCAGGATCAGCAGATAGCGTCACTGATACAAAAGGAAAAGAACCTTCTTAAATTCAACTTCCATCCATTTGCTTCTCTCTATTGTTTCCTTGAGTCCGCTAATAAGCCCCACTGCTATCTCTTCCGCCATTGGTTTCAAAGCCTAAAAATTCATTTGCTTCTGAAGAGACAGTATTATCGGTTAAACGGAAAAGCTATTGCTAAGCCGCTCCTTGAAGCATGGCCGGACCTAATAACATTTGTTACAAGTATCTCAGCGAACCGTTGACTGTTAACTGGTTACCACGCTCTTTAGAGGTGGTAAAAAAATCAGAGCAACAAACTCTACAAACCCAGCGTTTGGTATATCGAACCCATTACCTTTCACCGAACAGATTTATCTTCTCACAAATGATACTTTGAACAAAAATAGGTGCTCAACAGCCGTAATGAGTGCGGTAGCCAGTAACGAGCAGCGCAAAGGTGTCAGTGTGCTGAGTCCCGTACAGCGAAATTTGCTTTGTAGAGAACTCGGATATGTAAAAAAATAGTACAAAACTTTCATTCATCAAACTAATCCGAAATAACTGGAAATATTAATAAGTCGACATCATCTCGTAAGTGTACAACTCATACTCTGGTTCGCTGCGGATGATGGGGCGTGTCCGCGATCGCGCTTGGCGCTGAGCCAACCTGTTTTTTTCGACAAACGACTACCATATCGTTCGTATCAGACGTTTTCCAGCAGTTGGTCTCCTTTCATCGGAATCAGCAATTGGCGGAGCACGAATCTGGCGGCGTCGACAGGGACACGCTCCATCATACGCAACGGAAAACACTGTAAACAAGTGCACAGGTTCGCCATGGACCTCCCTGAATCCTATAGACACATTTGCTCGCGTGGACAGACATTACGCTCAAATTGCACCATCCCATCACCTCTGCGCGGACCTCAATGCGCGGCGCATCCAAAGTTAGCATGATTGGCGCTAAACAAACCACATCCTGCTCCTGCTCCACCACAGGATACGTTCTACATGTATTTCTGGCTATTCGAACACGCTCCTTGAAACCGTACACAGAAAACGGACTTTCGAACAGTTCGGAGTGTTCCCCAAATAATCCCCAACGCAATTATCTCATGACTCCCGGAAGCTTCAAAAAACGTTCAAGTAGTTTTTGGAAAGAGCAAATCTTCTAGAACTCGACAGTAGTTTCAGATTCCCAAACTATTGAGGTTCAAGGGAAATATCTTGGTTCAAACCTGTAAAACTCGCGCTGCAAACTATCCAAAAAATGAAATCCCTAAATAATCCCCAACGCAAATTTCTACATGAAATCGGCGATCTTTATGTACATGTTAGTATGTTTTGGAAAGATAAAATCTTTCCATACCACTGCGTTCTTTTTCCCAAAGGTCCGCTATTACGGAAGTTATGGTCCTTTAAAGAGACCCCACTTTCCTGAAAGTCCGCGCTCCAATCAAACCACCTGCAACCACCTTGCGGGCTGGAGGTCCTGCCCAGAATCCCTCTCCCGGTACCTCGGCCTTTAATCAGCTGATTGCGGCTGGCTTGCTCTCGTTCGTTTATTTCATTTCATATGGCTGACTCGCACTGCTTAGCGCATAGTACTAATTAATAGGATTTCTGTGCTGACCACTGCTGACCACTAAGACTTTGCTTGATTCCCATGTTTCAAAACACGGCCCATTTTACCTTTTTCAATGAACTTTTGTCAATGTCTGGTGCTCAACACATTCGTGAAAACACCCCCTGCTTGCTGGAAATAGGAACTGCAGACTACATACTGACTCATATGAGTACTTGTCCGGTATTATCGGAACTTTTCTCCCCCTACTGAATCTTACCATGTTCCCTAAACATTCTGAAACTTGCTGAAAGCATCTCCCCGTGTTGTTACAGCCTGTGCTATGAATTTTGGCGTGTGTCTTATCCGCAATTATCACTTCCTTCCATCAAAATAATCTTCCATTCCTGCCTCCCTTCTCTACTTCTTAAAACAAACGTGACATCGTTGCTGTGGAACGCGCTATAAATTTGGCCCTCCCCTTCTTATTCTCCCTACGATCGGTTCTGCGTTTATAACAATATCTATCGACCGTATAATACTTGTTGTTTATCAAAAATCACTCTGGACTGATTTCCGAGGGAAGATCAGTAGTTAGCGAGGGGACCTATCGAGTGAGATCACACCGCAGGCGACGCTGCCACTATGAAAGGAAGAGGCTAAATAAGAGAGCGTAGGCTTAGGACTCCACGAGAGGTCATGGCTGCCATGTTTCGCCTCGCCGCGCGCGGCGATTGCTGCCGTGATTGGACGAGACCCATACAGTCGTGCGATTAAGATCCCGGTCCCTTCACATAGTTCTGGCATCACGCAAATCTGCTTGGCATTTTGCCAAACCAGAATATTCAATGGGACGTCAATATTTTTGAATGGCAGCTGTATTTATTCAACGGATTGCTGTATTTCTTTAATACGACCTACTTTTCCCGTCTGGCCGCAAATCTTAGGCCCTTACAATACCTTACGATAGAGGGCAAAAGAAAGATTCACCCTAGAGTGAATTTTTTCTCTCTGTGGATTTTCTGTCATGGGGTCTGTACCAGTACTTTTTTAGATTGCTGACGTATTTTCTAAATATTATCCTACTCTATATAATCCGCTAAGTATGTCTGTAAGTGTGTGTGTGTATGTATTTGTGTGTGCGTCTGTCTGTGTGTCACGAAATTCATAGCGCCGGTCCCAGTAACAGTGAGACATTGATTTCAAGAAGTGATGTAGGCGGTGTGACGGGAACACTTTTGGTGGGTGACAGGAGGTGATAACACCTGATAAGATTCGATAAGGGGCCTTAGAAGGGGAGGGTGACCGAAATTCGTAGCGCGAGTTGCAGCAGCTGCGGGACCGTGATTTCAAGATGTGGTATAGGGTAAGGGAAGTGGACATGATTGGTGTGTGACAGAAGCTGATAACATCTGATAAGATTCGATAAGGGGCCTTAGAAGGGAAGGGTGACCGAAATCGTAGCGCAAGTTGCAGCAGCTGCGGGACCGTGATTTCAAGAAGTGATATACACGGTAGGGTGGTGGCTGACAGAAGCTGATAACATCTGATAAGATCCGATAAGGGACTTTAGACGCGGGTGTCACCAAATTCTTAGCGCAGGTTGCAGCGACCGTGGGACCTTGATTTCGAGATGTGGTATAGGGTAAGGGAAGTGGACATGATTGGTGTGTGACAGAAGCTGATAACATCTGATAAGATTCGATAAGGGGCCTTAGATGCGGAGGGTCACCAACTTTGTAGGGCAGGTTGCAGGGTCTGTGGGACCTTGGTTCAAAGAAGTGGTATAGGGGAGGGGGGCGGAAACCCACTGACGAGTGACACTATGTAACAGCGTCATCATGATCCGCAACACCGCTTACTGCCATAATGCGACTGATATGATCCAGTATCAGGCTCTCAGTAGTTCGTACACAACTCTTATGCTCTTACCGCTATCGACATCATGTACGGCCGCTAAAGCAACTGGAGTTCAGAAGCATGGCGGTTGTTTACTCAGTTGGCATGAACTGCAGCAACTGGCTTTATCACTATGACTATCTTTCATCAACAATCTGAGAGAGGACCATTCGAAGCGTTAAACTGCCCGAATGCGGGAGTGCATTCCAGAAAAAGAAACCTGCAGTAGTGGAGAACGCATCAAGCGGTAGGATGCTTCAAAGGCTGCTCTAACGATTACAATTCTACCATATATAATCGGCTATGTCCGTGCGTGTGCGTCTGTCTTTGACACGAAATTCATAGCGCCGGCTCCCAGTAGCAGCGAGATATTGGTTCCAAGAAGTGACGTAGAGGGTGTGACGGGAACACTATTGGTGGGTGATAGGAAGTGTTGATATCAGTTGATAATATCTGATAAGAGGCCTCAGAAGGGGACTCTCGCCATATTCGTAATGCGGGTCACAGCATCAGCCAGGTGTTGATTCCAACATATGATGTAGGGTATGGGACAGGAACATTATTGGTGGATGACAAGAACTGTCAGCTGCTGATAAGATTCGAGGAGATGTTAGAAGGGTATGGTCACTGAGTCCATCACGCGAGTCACAGCAACAGTAGGAGGTTGGTTCCAAGATACGATGTAGGGTTTAGGAAAGGAACACTAGGTTGGTGACAAAAACTGCCAGCATCTGATAAGATTGGATAAGGGGCGTCAGAAAGATAAGGCCACTGTTTCCATACCGTGGGTCGCAGAGTCAGCGTTGGTTCCAGCAGGTGATATAGGGGGTGAAATGGGGTCAGGAACGGTGGGTGACAAAAAGCCATAACAACTGATAGGGACTGATAAGAGGCCTTGCGGTCATCGTTGTTCAAGGTGTTAGAGCTTTCGAAGTACCAAATTCCAAAGTTTTTGTGGAAGGACGACGTGTGGTAAGTAATCATACCAATTGATTAAATTTGATGAAAATCAAATTTCGTCACATTTCTTACCACTTTTTAATGATTCACTGTCAAGTATCTCGGTGTAGTTCTTTCTTTTGATGTCATTAGAATTTCGGAAGTAACAGCTGTATGTTGCACGATCCTCTCGCCTGATTCAACTTTAACCCATTGCTCGAGCTATTTTCAATTATTTTTCTACATTTTGCTGGAAAATGCACTGTGACGGTTAGGCGTATTTTGCACACTCTACCTCGCCTGAAAGAGTGCCTGGCGAAGCCAGGCCGGCCCGGCGAAGCCGGGCCGTGACAAAGAAGGAGGTGGTCCGACTGGTTTCATACATAATATACAACGTAAATGGACGTTGCTTTATAATAATAGTTGGACATCGGGCACTCCTTTCATAGTTTTCACACCTGCAAGTAATAAAGCAGGCTGCTGGAAATCTCATGGACTATGCAAACTATGACTACGCCGCTCTTGTAGCGAAAACTGCCGCGTCGCGGAGGCAGGCTGACCTCTCGTGGAGTCGTAACCGTTCCCTTAAATAAGATGACCGGACAAACGTCCGATACGCACACCGCTGATAGCCGTGTGTGTTGCCTGCAGTATCATACGACAATCTTATGCGCTCGTTACAGAGAGCAGTAACGGATCAGTTACTACAAAGTGACTGAGTTCGCCCTGCCTGAATACTTTATTGTGAACAAGTATTCCTTGGCATTTCGGCTGGCACGACAAGGTGTATTTACGGTGCTGCCTAAATTCACAAGTGATATTGTTTTGCTACGAAAGCTCGTCGTGCACTGCTTACTGTAATTCTGATCATATATGCAATCTCTCTGTGGATTTTCTATCATGGGGTCTGTACCAGTACTTTCTCATTTTTGCGTCAGATATCGTTTACTATCGGAACACGATTTGTGAGACAGGCGTAACAAATCGACTTTGCCAGTAAGTCGTGAGAGTTCCTTTGATACTGCGGAGTGATTTATGGGCTGCTGGTTTACAACTGAGCACCCACTAAGCAAGATATGTAAGAGCCAAACGCTCTTTCTTCCATAACTTTTTTCTCACTCAACCTATTCATTTCACATTTTAATATGTTACAGCTACCATTGTTATCAATGAACAGGGGCTGCTTTGAAACATGATGCACGGACTGCAATTTCTTAACGTACGACTAACTTCGATGCCCACAAGTTACCATACTGCCGCATTTCTTACGTTTTGTGGAGTTTCACAACGGTATTTTCAGGTGCTAAAACTGCCTTCTGCTTGTTGCAGCGACTCGGAAGGAGTTTGAATTCTTGGACGCCGAAATAGTTGCTTGGAGATGAAAAATGTCGGCATACGGATGTGCCTTTCCCAAGAATTCTGAGAAATTCCAGTTCCACAGTGCCATCGTGGTCAACGCAATGACTGCAAAGACCGTTCGGAAGACCATTGGAGAGCACTCGACATCTATCCGTCAGGTTAAACTATCCACGAGTGTTTTTAGGCTGTAGGCTGCAAATCCATTTGCGTCGACTTCGCAGCCAATTCCAATAACATTTAAGAGACAAATGTTAGTCAGTGGATTGTTGGAAGAGCATGAGAGGGAGTAAATGATAGGTTTGCGACAGAGAAACCGCTGTTCAGCTAAGAAAATTCAAGGATCAAAGCAGAGGTCGCTCGCCATTTCAGTAAAATCAAGCCGTGGGGACAAGCCCCAACCCACTAATGGGAGTGGGTTTGTAGTTCTTAAATCAAATGCTGTCGAATTCTGGCATTTTCCCTGTCGATTTGAACACTCCTGCGTTGAAGAGGAGAACATTGCTCCTTTAGTTCGATGGTCATTAACGGTGTGGAGTGCTGTCTCACTTTAACCCGTTCATTTTCGGAACTGAACACTACGCTCTCGGTCGGACACGTAATATCGAACCCCAACACTCTCAATGTTCTTCCTTCACTCCATTTAGTAGTATTTGTCACTTCAATGCAACTGTAATTGGCTGCGAATTCGACGTAAGTGGATTCGGAATCAGCCTGCAAGCGGTAGTAAATATTTTTATCTTGACAAATACGTACTATATAATGTCGATTACTCTGCAGTGGTCTTTCAAACGCTGACTGCAGTCCTATTGTGATGAACGCGATGGCACCGTCGGTCTAGTAACTTCTAAAATACTTGCGAAAGGCACCGGTGTATGCCGACATTTTGCATCTTCATGGCAACCTTTTTCAGTGTCTGAGCTTTCTGTCTTTTTTCTAGTCACTGCGAGGAGCAGAAGGCGGTTTCGGCATCTGAAAGATTGTCGTGTCGAATCTCCACAAATCTCGAGAAATGTGTACAGATGGTGGCCTTGTGGACACTGGATTTAGTGGTTAAAGTTGCATTGTGTGCACTATGTTCAAGAGGCAACTACTGTTATTCATAGGTAACAGTAATAGGTGTAACTTCTGAAATTTCACATGAATAAGTTGGGTGGGAAAACAGTTGTGGGCAAAGAAGCGTTTGGCCGAATACTTTTGAGCGCTACTGTACGTGATTACAGGAACTGCCTCTGAGCGCACATTAGCAGATTTTAATATGGTTCCGCAGAAAGAAACAAATTTCTAACCTTCGACCTGGAGCGTGCATACATTGACAACATAGGTACTCTGTAGTATTTCACAATTAGCTGTAAGCACGCTTCACTTCTATTCCGTGGAGACATGGGCTCAGTTCTTGGGAAATCATCACGGAACAGTTCGGCATTGTTCGAAACGTTTGCAAGGAGAAACTGGAAAGTGTATTGATGTAGACAATTGTCTGCCAAACACTGCTTGCGTATCAGTCAGCTAACATCAGTGCTCGAAACTCGGGTATTATACACTCTACTTCGCTGCGGACGGTTGGGCGTGTCAGCCAGTATGAGTGTGTCACCCTCTTTGAGCTGTTCTCTGCCTTCTTGTTGAAACGGGCATGCGACAAAAAGCAGTAGAAAACAAGTAATACGAAAGGTATGATACAGTATTGTCATTTGCTCGCTTGAACAACTCGTGGAGAACGAGTTTGGCACCGCGCCAAACGCAGCCGCACGAACACGCCCAACCGTCCGCAATGAACTACACTAATAAAGGTACATGACTGATACATTGCATTGTCGGCTAGTTCCGAATTTCACTAGTTCTGGTCTGTAGGAACGAAACCTGATATTATAATAGTTTTCGAGAAAATTCTTTCCTTACGTCCATTAGATCCCTGTATTTCTGTTCAAGCCACGGCAACCAGGACAGTATATAGTGGATCATTACATAATTAGTTATAGTTCTAGGTGACGTTTTATTAAGAACATGGTTCAACCTGCAAGGCACTACTTCGAGAAACACGAGCTTCTCTGGGACAGGTCATGCCAAATGCTAACCGCTCCATGTATTCCTTGCTCGGAACTACGACTGATGGATCATTAAGTATATAGTCGTGAGTAGCCGCCGGCGCTACAAGAAGCAAGTACTTTGTCCAGTTGACCTTAACATTCGGTTTAGTGACCACAAACCTTAACATTCGGTTTAGTGACCACAAAAGTTAGAACGCCATATGCCGTCTTAAACTTTCGGTTCATCAAAAAAACTCGCGTTTTTCAGATCAATTCAGCACACTGTTCTACATCGGACGACGATTTGCCCTTTACTGCCCCCGTGTTTAAGTTTCAAATTCAGTTCAGGGGACTGCGATTTGTCTGGAAAAGTTCTAACGAGTGGGTGGATCTCCGTAACACAAATATCACATCCGTTCTGCCCGGAACTGCTCGCCCCTCGCGCCACAGGCACCAGTGCGAAAATACCTTAAATCACCAAACTTGCTGAAAACTTACTGTCAGGAGTTGTTCGCCTCACCACAAGTACTGTATCCGCGAAGTCGCCTAGCGCATGCGCCACGATTGATGACACCGCATGCTTAGCCGAGCTAGGGGCTAGCGCAGATGGGGACATGCGAGGCAAGGCGGCAACCGTTTGCAAGTTTCTCTTTCAGCTTGCCTATAACAGCTATCCTTGCCTTTGCTGAAGGCCCAACCTCAGCAGAGAAAGAGGGCTATAATATTCCCCGTTCAAGAAAAAAAGACCAAAAAAAGACAAAGCGAGACAAAAAGAAAAGAATCCAATTGGACATCCCACCTTGAAAACGACAAGAGAAAAGAAGTACAATTGGAAATCCCGCGCATTCAGAAATTGCGAAAACGTTTAAAAAGCTTTTTCTGCGGTTGCACCGAAGTGTGTTACGGCGACATTTCACGAATTAAGCCGAAAACTCCAGTGTTACCCTTTTTGGCATCTACAGGCCGACAGCGGCATGTGGGTAAACGTTTCAGTGGTACCGATGCAACAGGTATCACGTTAGAGCCTGAACGGGCTACGCAGGATTAATTCACATGTCGAAAACGGATGGGTATAAGGTTCATTCTTCTCAATCTGAGGGCACCAACAAGACGACCTTGGTTGGGAAAGGCTGCAAGAATCTCAGGCCATCGGAGAATGAAGTTGCCTAGATATGAATACGACCGGTACTCTCATGCACGGACCCATGCATCGGAAGCATCATCGGAGATCTCATGATGCAAGCCAGGAATTTCAAAGCGACGTCATCGAGCTAACCGAGACGAGGACACATCGCCCGCTACATACCGTATACATGCGGACGCGGAGGTGATGGCGGTGAGGGCGTCCTGTGAACACGCACTTGGCCATACGTCGGTTTTAGCAAACATCTCACATTTTGAGTAGGACGTATGCGACTGAGAAGATGTGGTTTAACTCCAGCTTTCGCAACCTTTTCGCCTACGTACCAACATCAAGCTACGACGATAATGAGCTCAAAACATCCTATAGAAGTGGAGAGGTTCTGCAATGGAGATCATGCCTACTTCAAATTCATCATTGGCGATCAAGATCGGACACAAACGAGCAGCGGAAAACGCCACATGGGAATTCACGGAGTTGTGTGGAATGAGCAGGGTGAAGGGCTCCGAGTTTATCATGACGGCTCACACCATGCATGGTGTCTCGCAGTTTCAGGACCCTTACTTTACACATGAGAGTCTCCTGGTAGACAATTCCAAAACGAGATCGACCACATAATCCTCAGTTCGGGGGTTCTCGTGCCCTTTGTCGCTATTGTTCCTAAGTTCTGTACGGGATAGCACCACCATCTCCGCACGAGATCGGGCTTCCCGATTCGACGAAAGAAAGCCGAAGAGCTCCAGAAGCAAAATCCCAGGAACGTCGGCGTATGGAATCGATTCACTTCTCTCGCTGGCTCTGGGAGTACAGCATCAATGAGGAATAGGACAGCTTATTGAGCTATCCTTATGACTGCTCTGAAAGGTGCGAAAGTTTCAAGATCCCCAAGTTCATCAGATCCACTGAGTCAGCTGTTGACCAGGGTACCGCCTCACTTATCAATACCAAGCATTATTTACGGTTCTCCACTTTGAGTGAGGCACTGTGATTTTATCTGTTGACGTTGTTTCACTTGACACCAATGTCCGAAACGAGCAAACCTTACAAGTATTGTCCGAAATGCTAGATAGGCATGCTAGCTAGTATCCTGGCTCAGTAGAGTGCACATAAGAACGCTGATCAAGGAGTGCTCAGGCTGTAACATTTTCAGATGTGTATGAACATACATTTCATAAGGGGCTCGGTCAACAACTGGGTCAACGACTAGCAGCATTCTTGCAGTTTGCAGGATTGAAAAACTAGTGCTGCTATGTCATTCAATAATGTACTGCAGACATGTTATGACTGTTTCATCTTAAGATCAACACAGTCGAAAATGGACGAGTATTTTTAGTAATACACGAATGGTCGCAGCACATTAGACTCACATGTGAAGCACTACATGGCGGTTGGGCTTTTACCTCGACACACAACTTGAAGTATCCTGTGGTATTTTTAGCGTGAAGTGGTACCGTGAGACCAGTTCGAACAATATCTCACTCCACGCTATCAGGATATCCATAGGCCGTAATAACAATGACGTTACAAAGAACATGCTGTGAAGGGTTAGATAAAAATGGTACGATCACACCTCCGTTGATTATGCCTCACTTATGCCTCGCCCCTAGGTGCGAGACATCATTAACGAGGTGCGAAGCGACCTCATTAAGCAGGGGGAAATCGTGCTCGAGTGCGAAGTGACCTCATTCAATGAGAGATCATTGAGTTATCGAAATCGGAATAAATCGAGTGAAAACTAAACTATCAGGAAATTAAAAAAAAACGTGAGGCTCACGAACAATTACTTATAAAAATGCTGGCGCTACATGGTAAAACTCAACAAAATGGCATTGTGCTTAATTACTGATTGACCGTCAGTGGAAAGCTTATCCATATGGTCTTCCTAGTTATCATGCTATCTAGAATTCGGCATAAATCGATCGGAAACAGCCGCTACGGCTTACGAAGACTTGGAAGTCGCGTGGAAATCTTTGAAAATTACGGGGGGATTCCTTGCCTATCGCTAAGGTCTCACTGCCTGCCCTTCGGCGGGTGAAATGCAGGTAATGACCTTCTGGCCTCGTCTATATTGTCCCCATAACGACTTCTTTATCACTTTGAAAGACCTCTGGCCAAATATAACACCTTAAGGAGAGGTCATGAGTAGATGCCTAAGCTAACAGGTAGGAAGTAAGCACACAATTCGTTTATTTGAGCAACTTTTGTGTTATCATGTACTCTAGTACTAATCTACCATTCTTACACTATCAGCAGGGAGTATCTAGTGCCCAAATAGAGTGCTACTGCATAAAAATGTCTCATAATAATAATAATTTGTACACTTGTTCTTGTTTAAGTAATAATAATAATAAATATATGAAATATATGGCAATCTTTTTACCCACTTTACCGAAATCTTGCAATGGATTTATTCCGATTTGGATAGCTTAATAGCTTTTCCTTGAAGTGAGGTCAGCTGCAGTTGAGCACGACGTGCCTCGGCAATGAGGTCGCTTCGCACCTCGCTAATCGGCTTAATGAGGTTTCTTCGCACCTCGCTAATTATGCCTCGAATCCAGGTGCGAGAAGTCGTTAACGAGGTGCGATCGTACCATTCTTATCCTACCCTGCTGTGAACAGCAACGGGTATGTGCACAGGCAAAGTTGGGCGTCAAGAATCACAACTCATAGCTTGTGAGATAACGTTTATACGGCACCACAGCGCACTGGTAGACAGCGCACTAATACGCGAGAAGGTCTCCGTCCAAACAAATCACTGTTATGCCCTCCTTCCATCTCCGATGTGATAAGCGCTGCAAGACAGCGGAACACTTATAGGGCACAGTTGCAAAGTATTGCTCAGTGAGTTACCATCCCCAGATGCAACATCAACAGCAATGGTATAAAAATAGGGAACACGATCGACAGTGCATATATAAAGATCGTGTTATTTGTCCACACGGAGTTCCGGTGGTTGTGCAAAATCGGGAGTGATTCACCAATTACTACACCGAAAAAACTAACAGCACACTGAGTAACCCCGGCAGGCGAGGCTTCGGCTATTTTTTGGGAACTTCTATGTAATAACAATTCAATGTCTTTTCAATTTTCTTGTAATACATTTGTGCACAACCGTTCTCAGTTTCTCCAGAGTGGAGCTGTCTGCTTATTCTGAACTACGATCAAGGCTCTATACTTCCGGATTAAAACATTTTGCAAAAAGGCGGAGCTTTTCACGGCGAGAGAAGCCGTTCAGTGCGCTTGAAAAGGAGGATAAGTAATAAAACATGAAAACTTGGATAAATTCGCAAAATTCCATTGAAGTGGGCGGAGCCTAATGCATTACTGTGCAGGTGCTTGTCTATGAGTACATCCACTGCGTGAAGAGTGGGTCTGAAAGCGTCGACTTTGAGAAAAGTTATAAAAAAATCAACATTCACAGCAAACCTGTTGAAAAGTGGGAAGTCTTCTGTGTACCGGTATGGCAGTCTGTGATTTGTTGTATATGCATCAAGTGAATAAATGCAAAAAAAAGCCACAGAAACAGACGTTTTATCATAGATTTCGAAAATCGTGGTCGCGCTGGAAAGTTGGAGTGGTCTTAGAGGGCGGGGCTCGAAGCATGTCCAGTGAAGTCGAGGATGGCTGGAGTAGCATGCCCTCCATGACTAAATCATTTTGTGAAATTAGACATAGCGGCAAAACAAGTGGTCCACGAAGGACAATATGAGCCACCGGTGGCTCAAGCGGACGCATGCGAAAACACGCCATTGTCCCACGCGGCGCTTTCCCGCAAAACGCGATTGTCGTCAACGTGTTAATGAATTCTGCAGGTATCACGAAGAATGATGTAAAGGTGAAGATGAAATATGCACGAAAAAAACAAAGCGGAACACGAAAAACACTCAAAATTGAGAAAATGAATAAAAGAAATGACCCACGAGACTGCAGAATTTCAAACGCTGATGAGGTCGCTCCAATGACGTTTTTTAATGAGAACGGTCGCAACGTTGCGAGCGCTTTCAATAGGAAACGTCACGCACGCACACGCTTGCACACCTTGCTCCACCCTTTCAGTTACACTTCTTTCCGCAAGTTTTTTTTTCTGCAAGATATTGTAAGGCTCCATGCCGCTCACTTCTTGAAAGTGCCCAATGTTGGCAGAGTAGTCTCAGTCAGCAGGTCAGGGTTTCGCTAGTAGTTCTACAGCTAGATCCCGGGCATGATTTCTACCGCTCCAAGAGCGAAACCTATCGCGAACTGAGACTCTAACCATAAGATCATAAGTTGATGCATCCAAGTGCATTTGCAGCTCAATGGGTGAGGGACCTTTAGCCATGGTAACCGGACACCCAGGGTGCAGTTCCTCTACTCATAGGGCCGCACTTCAACTCACTGCTTCATAGTACGATTAGTAGCAGTGCACCAATGCCATGTTTTCGACTGTCTCTCTTGCAATAGTCTCCAAATAATATTCTAACGTCTCAATCCGGACGAGGGGTGTTCACCTATTCGAGCTTTCGGCTCGCTGACCTGGACTGCGTATTCTGCTTTCAAAACTCCTAATGATGCTTCTGCTCCACACGTCCAACGGATCAAAAGTATCCGGTGGCGCTGTTTGTCGACGGAGGGGGGGGGGCATTTTGTATACCATTGCTTCCCTAGTTCCGGTTTACAAATCTCACTCTGGTAAAACTTGTGAACTCTTGTGAAGCTGGAGTAAGATCGTCTAGCCACCATCCTAAAACGTGTCAACTCGAGAAAAGGCTACCTAGATGGGTCGGCACATCTATGGAAAGCAGAATGCCCCCCCCCCCCCCCCGTCGACAAACTGCGCCGTATCCGGTCATAAGCGGACTCCAACATGAGGAGGAAGAAAATTTGGTTTGCACCGTTGGGAGAACTATTGTACAACCTAAGAGTTCATGATTCTACCACGCCTCATTTTCATGAGACCTGTAGCTTCTTGTGCAGTTGAAACGACTGCACCATTGCTTTTATAGGAATTTTCAGGGCCTCGTAAAAAGGCGTGTACCTGTTTCGCGGTGTACCACCTGATGTCGTCGCCAACTTGAGCAGCGTCGAACCTTGCGTACAGCTTTACAGTCTTATACAGGGTAAAATTTACCGGCCAAATAATGTACTGCACACTGGGGGAAGATGTCCATCTTTACAAAAATTTTAAATAGAAGGAAAACACATATAAACCTATCCAGCAATAGGATATGAAAGGGCTTTTTCCACTTCCATAACAGAAAACCCTAATACTACTTGCATCATACCTTGTCTACAATTCCATCCAACTCGCTCAGCTTCATCACGTTCTCTTCTTTATAGAAATCGGAACCCAGTGCAAGACTTATGAGAATTTCTGGTAGTTGTATTGCATCGAGTTGTTTAATAAGAGCCCAAAGGTCTAAGATATCAGGAGGCGCATTAGTCTCACTGTAGTTAACACCTACATCTGCGGCAATACTTCTGATCTGAAATAAGACAACTTTTATATATAGAGGTCGAGGATTGCTTGATGGAAGGTCTTTATACGCGTGATTTGATGGTCAAACTTCAGACTAGTCCCCGCTTGAGCCAGTCAAGCCTTCTATCCGGCCATGGCTGACACGTTTTACTAGCCCGAAAAAGTCTAGTCACGTTTAGTTTGATTACTTGTGTAAGTAGAATGCGTAAAAAAGAGTGTTGATCGACGGCAAAGGCTCCATTCTTCGTAACTGTCACCCGCTTGACTCCGCCAGCTGACGGGCACATCACCTGGGTATTGGGTTGACGGCCGAGGTAATCGCTCCCTCTCCATCCCTCACTAGCGCAGAATGTATTTATTCTGCAGGCTTCTGTAGCTTAAACAATCGCCAGCATACAGCCATGCTTAATGGCCATCTACGAGAACCTCAACAACCTCAGCGACGGTTCCCATACCTATGTCCTCATTTCCACCTAATCTGCGAGCACTTTCTGGTATGGCCCTGAGTTCACTGGGTGCTTTATATGGAAGGGAGGAGCCCTATCGGCCCAGAACATCGCCGTAGGCTAACGTCCTAGCAACGAATTTGGTCTATTAATTTGTTTTGTATATTTGTTCAACACAAGCAAAGTTCTTCTTCACTTGGAGGATCCCGAGAAAATGCAGAACTTTGCATCGCCAGACTCGTGCCATCAATCTTGCCCTCATCCTTTTTTGACAATGTAAAAAGGGAGGAGCATAATTCTGATGTTTATACTCCTTCTCAGAAAAATTCTCTACCCCAGAGACCCTCACTATACCGTATCCTACAGTCCTATCATACACTACATATGAACGACAGCCTCTATCTCTGTTTCTGCGCGCCTGTCCGAAAAATCGGCATTACTTGAACAGCCAGTCTAAGGAGACGGGTCAAGGACGAGATGAGTAGGGCATGGACCATACACATGAGTAAAACTAAACCCCGTCCACTGTGAGCGGAACGACATCCCAGCTGGAAAGCGCACATTCGAAAAAATCGTTTTTCGATTCCAAAGAAGCCCGAAGGGCGGAAAAAGTGGGGAAACAATAGGAAACTGGTAGCAATAGAGAGACATACCCACAGTGGGCTGGGTGTGCTGAAAATGGACGGCGCTTGCTACGCATACGAGGGAGGAGTCACCAGACAACCATTTAATCTTGCTCTCCCCAGTTATGAAATAAGTAGTTGATTGTATGGCAGCTTGATTGCAAGGCCAAGTACGGGTAGAGGGCTCTCGGCCAACCACGAGCTCTGCTTCCTCCAGCTGCCAAATACAACCCCTCGCTAGGCATTCCCGAGCTTACAACAAACTCTAATTAAGATGGCGTCGGAACGCATGCAACCGTATGAAATGCTCTGTTTTTCTCTGCATGTGCTCCTCTTCAATAACGACAATAAAGGAGAGCAGAATGTCTTACGTTCCGCATAGCAAACCTCATACAAGAGGTTAATCCCACCCAGTATGCAGAACGGTTCCTGCGATACCTTTAGCTTAAAGACAGCTCCCGCGATAAAAGTCTCATGGATAGCTGCTTTCCAATTATGAAACAGTAGCTGATAAGTAATCTCCCAAAGAAGAAAACAGGCAAGAAGCGTCCTCCAGAACAACATAAACAAAATCGCTCCCTCACAGTCACACCTCCCTGCGGTCTCTGTGCAACCCCTAGCTCACAAATCTCTCTATCACATCTCGCAGTAGTTGATATCATCCAGTGCAAAAAAAAGAATACAAAAAGAAAACAACAAAAACGCAGAGGAAAAACTCTTGGAAGGAAAAAGGAATTTTATCAACGCGGTGTCTGAATTTGGGATTACGGTAGCGCACGTTTTGTGCGTCGAGGTTTTGCATCACGAAAATTGCGTCACTCGTGCTTTTTACGCGTTTCACCTCGCGAAATGAGTTGAATTGAATGTATATACCTCCAATGAGTAAACTGTAATAAAGGGGAGCAGAATTATCCATGGGCATTAGCAATGCCCGCCGCCCCAACTAAGAACAACTGAGTGGCCTCCGTCGGAGGACATCTAGCAAGTAAGGCGGTCCAACTGAGCAGGCGTTAGAACTAGAACTTACAGCGGCTGTAGCTCGCTTCTCGCTCGCTGTGCAGACGAAGCTTGGGGGCTGTACTACTTGCACAAGGAAGGACGACCATGTACTACTCGAGCGCGGGGGCTGTCTTTAAATACACATGGTACACATCGAGGGTGTATGAGACTATCAGCCCCCAGCTGTCGATGTGTCGTGGTCCCCCGCCCAAAACTGCACGGGGTCAGAGTACGGGGCCGTGGGAAAGTCGTAATTCCTTGCTACACCGCCCTCACGTTTATGCTAACACCATCCGCGCGGCGCGGTCGCGTGCAGCTCTCTTGGCTTTTTGCCAAGTCCTGTAATTGCGCGCAACATTTTAGGTGCTGCAAAATAAGAACCGAAG